ATCTCAGAAAAAAAGAATGCCAGAACTTAAGCTAAAGATATGCCCATGTTTGAATCTTAATCGTATTTGAATTGATGGATCTCAGTTTTTCAATGGTTAAATATGAGCTGTCAATAAATAAAATAGTTTATATGACGTACCTAGTCTGTGATTCTGGAATCACAGGAAATCCACAGGAGGTCGCTATCTGCATTGACGCAATGGCAATGAGATTTTGAATTTTGAAAGCCTATCAGAGTTCACCTAGTGCTGTAGTCTGGGAATGTTCTCTCTGGTCACAGTGATTTCTTTTTTTTTTTTTTTTGGTAAAATCAGTTTCATTCAAACCTCGTTTTTTGTGATGACCAATTTAAGAGAAGAGTATGGCTGTGAAATTTCATTTCCTGTTCAGGAGAAATGCCGCAGAAACTGTGGTGATGTTGAACACAGCTTACAAGGAGAGCGCTATGCAAAAACCTCAGGTGTACGAGTAGTTTACTCGTTTCAGAAAAGGTGAAATGTCGATTGATGACAAACCTCATTCAGAATGTTTGTCAGCTTCCCAAACTGACAAAAATGTTGGCAAAATTGTGCACTTTGTGCTCAAAGGCAGACAATGATATCTGGACTATCTTGGAGCTCGGTTCAGCGAATTTTAACAGATTTGGGAATGAGAAGGGTCGCTGCAAAATGTGTGCCTCGGGTTCTGAATGACCAGAAGAAAGAGCATCGAGTGGAAACATGCTGTGCTTTGAAAGAACAACTCCGAAGTGACTCAGATTTTTTCCCAAGGTCGTTACCGGTGACAAGACTTGGTGCTATTCTTTTGACCCCGACACCGAAAACAAACATTAATCAGCCAGTGGAAGACATCATCACCTCACCCCCAAAAAAGCTCGTCAAGTGAAATCCAAGACCAAGATGATGTTCTTTCTTTTTTTAAAATTTGAGGAGCATAGTTCTTTCCACCAGGTTAAACAGTTAATCAAGCTTTGTATTTAGAGGTTCTGTAAAGATTGTATAACAATGTGCCATTAAGCAGACCTTATTTGTGGCATAATGGGGACTGGTTTTGCTACCTCTACAATGCACCTGCTCACACAGCCATCTCAGTGCACCAATTTTGGGTAAAAAACAGCACACCTCTCTTGCCCAATGCACCTTACTCACCTGACCTCGCACCATGAGTCTTCTTTTTGTTTCCACAAATGAAAAGGGACATAAAAGGACAGCAATATGATGACATAGAATAGGTGTGTGTGCGTGGGGGGCAAAACAAAACAAAAAAATGAGGGAGATGCTGTTAGCCACCCAAACAGATAAGTTTCAAAAATGTTTCCAAGAATGGAATTGCAGATTTCACAAATGTATTAAGTGTAATGGAGAGTATTTTGAAGGTGATAAAATTGCATTGCAAAAAAATTTAAGCACATAGGTTTGAAAAACTATTCAGTTTTGGGGGGCATACCCCCTTGTATATAGAGAGTGACTTATCTCAAGGAGACAGCACATATGGTTGTAAAAGCTGGCAAGTCCCAAGTCCACTGATCAAACATCAAGATACAGGCTTCTATCTTTTTTGGTAGTTATTATTATTTATTATTAAAAAGTCATTTTAGGGGGTTCTTACAACTCATAACAATCCATACATCAATTCTATCAAGCATATTCATACATATGTTGCCATCATTCTTTTCTGGGCATTTACTTCCTATTGAGCCCTTGGTATCAGCTCTTCTTTTTTCCATCCCCACCACCCTCATGGCCTCTTTATAAATGATATATGATTATTTTCATATCTTAAACTGACCACTGTTTCCCTTCCCTTCCCCCATGGTTTCTGTTGTTCGTCCCCCTGGAGGGGTGGTGGTAGTTATCCTTTGATTATTTTCTTTACTCATATAGTTGTGGTGTCTGATGAACCCAAGATTAGCAGGTCAGATGGGAGGAGCTGGGTATGGAGGCTGAAAATCCAACATAAGCAGGCAACACAGGAGGCAACTGGCTCAAGTTTTAAGAACCAGAAGTCAGATAATGATTAACCAGATGCAGGATCCAGAACTAGAAAAAAGCCTGAAGGCTTTGCCAGGATGTCTGTATATATTGGATGTAGGCCACACCCCCAAGGAAACTCCCTTTCAACTGATTGCTCATCTCTGCATGTCATCCTTGTGCAGGGGCCATGCTAATCTTCTCTGTATAGTTCCAATTTTAGCATATGTGCTGCCAAAGTGAGCACTGACTGCTCATCTCTGATCTCATCACAATGGTTATTACATTATGTGAGTTCTCATCAGAGATGATTGCATCGTAACTTGCCAACTATTGAGAATCATGGCCCAGTCAAATTGTAACACAACCTTAACCATCAGTGTGACCAATGTTTATGTGATCATGTCCCAGTATAGACACTGGTTGACAATACTTCTTATGTATTGTCACACTATTGTCAAGAAAATAACTCTGTTCTGACTTCATGGAGAAAGGCACTTGGAAGCTTTGTGGTAATTTTCTGAAGTCTGATTTAAATGCCATCTCTTTTGATTGATTTAACTCTGTATCCTTTCCCTGTAATAAATCATAATCATAAGTCAGTGGGTAGTTCAAATGGTTTGCACTAGGCTGGTAAACAAAATGTTGGTGGTTTGACCCACCGAGTGGTACACTGGAAGAAATAGGACTTCTATAATGATTAGAACTAATTTGAATCTGTAATACATAGTCTTTATCCAAAAACCTCAACAACATAACAACAATAACCCATCGCTCTGAGTATAAAAGCTTATAGTGAGTATTTCATTTCTTCTAGGGAATTCTCAGACCCGAGGGTGGTGGTAGTAGGTGGGGACTTCTTGTACTTACAATTGATGTCAGAGCTGAGTGTGTTCCTTTTGGTGTGACTGTTCTCTAATCTCAGACTTGGTGTAACAGACTAGAGTAGTCTTCTGGACAGTGCATTCTAGCTTTAGAAAGTTGTCACCTTTAGTTTCCCTATTATGACTATTTACGTCATACATGAATGCCTTCAATAAGTTCTGAGGGTAAATATTAAAGATATTTACAATCTATCATGCCAATTGTTCTCCCTACAATTTACTCTCAAATAAGTTTTTTTTTAATATCAAGGATTTTTTTTGCTTTGAAAGCCAACATTCTCCGAAGAAAGACAGAAAGTGAAAGAAAACCTGCAATGAATCTTTAATATTTCACAAATTTTACATCTGAATTTGGCTCAATTGTTACCAATCTCCTAAAATTCACGTGAAACGTGCCTGATAAGAGACTTTGCAAACTGCAAAATTTGCTTATTTAACATGTTGATATTTGAAAATTGCATCTAAAATTATTTTCAGATATAAACATTTAATTGGCTCCTAATTTTTTCCCATCACTCCTTATCTTCAGTTTTAAAAAATACCTTTACCAATTTACAGATAGGCAGAGTCATATTTGAGGGATGAAAATTTTTGCTCTTTTTTCAAACCTTTTAATATATGTGGCTAGAGATTGGGAAGAGCATGGCAATATTGTGGTTAACACACTCAGCTGTTAACCACAAGGTCAGCAGTTTGAACCCATCAACCTCTGCAAGGGAAAACGATAAGCTTTTCTACACCCATAAATAGTTACAGTCCTGAAACCCACAGGGGCAGTTCTGCCCTGTCCTATAGGATCGCTATGAGTCGGAATTCACTCCATGGTAGTGAATGAAAGTGATTGGAGATTGCGAGGACCAGGAGAAATAAGAGAATTAGTACTATTAATGATGTGGATTCCAAAAGCAGCTGGGTATTCCAAGTCTTACTGGAAATTCCTAGCCTGTAAAGTTAGTCTGAGCAATCAGGATACGACAGTATTTGACCATTAAAAATGAAAGCTGGAACATCCGTGGCCCAGTGGCACATGTGAACCAAAGAAAAGAGGAAGAAAAAAAAAAGAAAAGAGGAAGAAACAGACGGGAAGTTTGGCACACAGCCAGGCAGTAAGTGGACATACGGGGTCAAGGGAGAATACAAGCAGTGAATCTACAAGCAGTGAGTCAAAGACCAATTCCAGGATATTGTGTATCTGTTGGGCAGATGGTCACCAATGAAAGCAGTCAAAAGATAAGTGGAAACCAAAAGAGTAAATAAAATAAAATGAAAGGAAATGAACTAGGATATTTCAAGCAAGAAGAGATACAGTTCATCTCATAACTCCCTGAGCCTCTCCCTGCTCTCTTTGGTTGATTCTGAGCCACGGTACAATTCCCATTCTCAATGGATTGGCTTTACAAAGGGGCGTGTGACTCAGTCTCTCACTACCTAGCTCAGCTCTCACTTTATTGGAAAGACCAGAAATCGGAATACCTTGTTAAACAGGAATTTTCAAAGGTAATAGAGAGCACTGTTGGTAAACAAGGAGATGTCATGACTTCACTTGCTCTTCCTGTTCAGTGCAAGAAACAATCTTTATCTTTCCAAAACAAAGACAAATGATGCTCTGTAACAGAGGAATTTAAAAAATTCATCCTTCATGTTCCACTTGAAGTAGAAATTAAATAACAATGGAAAAGAGATGTGGTGTGATCTAAAATCATGTCTTAAGAATTACACTTTTTAATAAGTGGGGAAAATGACACTTTCTTCAACTGTTACAGGCTCAGAGACCTAAGCATACAAATGTGGAAAGGAAGGAGTAGATTTAGTTTTCAGAACATGGCTTAATTAAAAAGACGGTGTCCTCCAAGGACTTACACATACAAAGGAAGAGACCGCATATGATGCAGAGGTTGAACTTATATGATTACAGTGACAACTCTGAGTTAAACAGAATATTTGATAGTGTTGGTGTTGTGAAGTGCCATAGAATCGGTTCCAACTCCTACTGACCCCATGTGCAAAAGGACAAAACATTACCTGGTCCTGCACCATTGTCACAGCTGTTGATATATTTGATCCTATTGTTGTAATTACTGCGTCAATCCATCTAGTTGAGGGTCTTCTTCATTTTCACGGACTCTACTGAAACTGATGTACTTCTTCAGGGACTGGACTTTTCTGTTAAAATGCCCAAAGTATGAATTCTCACTATCTTCCCTTCTAAGGAAAATTCTGGCTGTACTTCTTCCAAGATATTTGTTTTTTGGCAGTTCATAGTATATTTCATCTTCCTCACTAGCAATACGATTAAAATGCATCCATTTTTCTCCAGTTTTCCTTACTCATTGTCCAGATTTTAGAAGTTGTGATAGGTATGTTTATTGTGCCAACCTGGCCAATAAGAATCTGTGGGATTAAGAAGGTCGCAGTTTGATTGGAGGGCAAGGAGATAAAGGGCTCGGCAAGACCCACCTCTCACCCTCTTGCTCTCTGGTGATCAGACCAGCGTGTGGTTGCCTTAGCTAGTTCCCAAGAGCTAGAGGTGAAGTACCCTGTTGTTTGCTGCTTGTGGCCGGATTGCCTGCACTGCTCTGTGGAAGACTCAGCTGTCTGCTTCCTTGACCTTGGATCAAGCAGCCCTTGTGGGTTGAAGGACTTCCAGTATATTAACTGCTCTATGGAAGTGAGTTGAACTGAACACTCTGTGTGGACTAATTAGCTGTTATATTCTTTCGTGCTGTATATATCTATCCATATATATAAAATCATAAGTATCCTGGTTTTGTTTCTCTAGAGAACCTTGTCTAACACAGACGTATATGAGGCAATTGAAAATATCATGGTTTGGATCAGACACAGCTTAGCCCTCAAAGTGACATATTTCCTTTTTAACACTTTAAAGAGATCTTTTGCAGCACTGGCCACATTGTGGACAATGTTGGTAAGCAGTTCAAATCACCAACCTTCTCATAGGAGAAAGATGATGTTTTGTGCTACCATAAAAATGTAGTGTCAGCCACCCATAGGGGCAGTTCTACTCTGAATACAGGGTCACTATGAGTCAGAATTGACTAAATAGAAATGAATTATGGGCAGCACATTTTCCCAATGAATTATTCCATGTGATATTTTGATTAGCTTTTATGGGTGCCAATTGTAGATATACGTAAAATAAAATCCTTGACAATGTCAATACTTTCTCTGCTTATCACAATGTGCTTATTGGTTAAGTTTTGAGTATTTTTATTTTCTTTATGCTGAGATGTATACTGGGGACTCTAGTCTTTGACCTTTATCAGTAAGTTTCTCAATCCTTTTTGCTTTCAACAAGCAAGATTGGGTCATCTGTACATCACAGATTATTAATGAGTTTTCCCCTAATCACATATCAAATTCTTCTTCCTATATGAGGGGGACATCAAAATTTCCTGCATAAAATTTATTATACTTGAATTCCACTTTTCTTCAAACTTTCTGAACCCCCCCATATAGTCTGTTTTCTCAGATTATTTGTTCAGCATACAGATAGAATAAGTATGGTGCAAAGACACAAATCTAAGCACACCTACCCTGATTTTAAATCTTGTAGTGTCCCCTTGTTCTGTTCCAAATTACTGTCTCTTGGTCTATGAACAGATTCTACATGAACACAAGTGAGTTCTCTGGGATTCCAATTATTCACAATGTTATGCATAATTTGTTATGATTCACAAACCCGTTTTCCTAGTTAATAAAACAAGGTAAATATCTTTCTATTATCTCCTTTTAACCCAATTCCATCTAACATCACATGCTATCACTCATTACAAGTCCTTTTCTGATTCTGCCTTGAATTTCTGGCAGTTTCTTTTCCACGTGTGGCTCCAAAAATGTTTACATTATCTTTCTATAAATCTCACTTGTGTGTCATACTAATGATACTGTTCAATAATATCTGCTTTCCCTTCAGTCATGTTTTTCTTGGAATAGGTATAAATATGGATCACTTCCTGTCCCTGGATTAAATAGCTGTTTTCCAAATTTCTTGACATGGATGAGAATATTATTCCAGCATTGTAGGTGTCTGTTGAAACATTTCATCTGGCATTCTGTTAAATCTTAAAGTCTTATTTTTTGCCAATGCTTTTATTCCTGCTTAGACTTCACCAATTCTTGATCATATCCTCTCTCCAGAAATGAGGGAACATAGGTCAATTCTTTTTGATACACTCAGTCTTTGTATTACTTCCATCTTTTTAAATATTTCCTTTGTCATCCAATATTTTCCCCATAAAATCCTTCAACACCCCAACTTGAGGGTGATGAAGTTTTTCTTCAGTTCTTTCAGCTTGAGAAATTCTGAATGTGTTTCTCTTTTTGTTTTCTAACTCCAAATCTT